TTTTATAGATAATTTCTGAGATTTGTTTCTAAACAAATTGTAACTGAACCATTCTGAAAGGAAGATGTCCTCCGGACTACCGCGTGAATTCTTCCTCGGTGGCCGAGCAAACCTCACAGGGTGGCAGGGATCTGGCGAGTTCTCCAAAAAAATCGAGCCCATAAGCCAACAATTTGGAGATTATAGTATTTTATCAGTGCTCCCAAGGTCACGAGAGAGGCCCACCTACTCCGGCCACCCGGGAGAGACCAGCATGGACACATAACTAGGACTCCATCTGATAGACAGCTGGATGCCCTGGGACATCTTTCTCCTAATTAAATAAGAGCACAATTCCAACCTTTGCCAGCCATATGTTTGATGAGCAGAGAATAAAGGGATGAATGAAGAAAGTTGAAAGTGTTTGATGACTTCAGGCTCTGATTTTCATAGTTGAGATAGCTACCAGAAGAACAGGAGCTTGGGAGCCCCTCGCCACTGGTGATGCTTAGGCGGAAATGCCTGTGTTTGCAGGGGTGAGAGTCTTGCACGTAAGTGACCCTCAGCATATTACAAGAATGAAAGGGTTGGAATAACGGAAATGAGTTCTCATCATGGACAAGTGATTTAACCTAACTGAGCCTCAAATTCCTCATCTCTAAATGGGGCCAGGAAAAACAATGTCCCCTTCCTAAGGACGTGATAGGGTTGAGTTAATACATGCAATGTTTCAGCCCATCTGCCCATCAGTTTGAGACTGGATAAAGAAGATGTGGTTTTTCTATAAGATGGAATACTACTCAGCCATAAAGAATGAGAAATTAGAGTCATTCATAGGAAAATGGATACATATTGAGGACATACTCCTAAGTGAGATAAATAAGTCCAACAGGTGTTTCTCTGGTGTGAACCAACTATAATAGTACATAAGATCCTAATGGGATAAGTAACAATGTGAAATAGGAAGAAAAGGGCTAAAGATGTAGGGAAAGTGGGAAGGGTAGGGGAAAGAGAATAAGGGAAAGAAAAAAATAGGAGAAAATGAAAAAATGGAAATAAAATGTTTGTAAATGGGGAGGGGAGGAGGGGGTGAAGGGAGGGCAGGGACAAGGGGAAAAAATGAGAACCAAGACCTGTCATGTAAAGGTACAAGATCCCAATGATGAATGTAGCTGTACTGTATACCTAAAATGTACCAATAAACTCGGTGAGGAAAATAATACATGCAGTGTTTGACGAGGAACCCACCTATGATAAACACTGTCAAATGGGATTTGTTGGCTCTGTGTTTAATGCCCCTTTGTTGATTGGCAGAATCTTTCCTTAAATAAACTCAAGTAACCTGTTTGATTTTGTTTGTACATCTTCACCATTTACTTCCAAATGGGCAATTGTGGTCCAGATGTCGGAGTGCCTGTGTCACTTCCTCCGTACCACATACTGACCATGCCAACCTGCACAGCCCTTATTCCCTTCTCCTTGAGCTGCTGCCTAACCTCCAAAGCGATGTCCCTGGCCACCATCTCTCCAAACACCACAACCTCGATCTTCAGTAATGATCTCATTTCACCATGACCTCAAGAAGAGTCCTAGAATAGCAAGAATGTATGGCTCCTTGTGACTTACAGTTAACACTTCGGGGAAAAAAATGGGCAGTCAAATCAGGTTTCAGTAGATGACAGGCTTCATTTTAAAACTAGGGAAAATAATACATCAAACTTCACATATAGCCAGATAATTGAGATTATGCCTTAGAGTTTAGCATAGCAGAAGTTGAAATACAGGAGTGGATATGGACACTTCAATCACAAAAGAGAGATATCTCAGACATTTTAGGTTCAGGAAGATACCTTCTTTTAAGAGGCGCAATCCAGGATCTGGGTCCCTGCCCATGTTGACTACTGAAGTTTGACGTGTGGTGGAACTCTTAAGAAAATGCTGTGGTTGTTTACATGGTGAATGCTGAAATGTTTAATTTCTCTTGGAACACACATTGCTATAGTAAATACTCGAAAGGGAAAATTAACATCACTCAGTGACAGAGAAGTGGCCATCAACTTGCACCTTAAAGTGGAAAAGTAAGCGGTGACAACAAGTTTTATTTTTAAGTAATTTAAAAATGAGTATTTTGTTATTAAATATGGCACATAATAGCTATGCCAAACATCAAAGAAAAAATGTGTATATAGATTATGTATTTCTGATATACCAAGAGGCATTTGTATTTAGATCACTTTAGTCAATATTTCAGCCATTTCCTTGCATACTGAAATGTATTTTACATTTTCAAGTAGCAGCTCCGAAATTAATCAATAGTGTGTACTAATATTGTGAGGTAATTATAATCAGACTTGAAAATACCTCAATTATGCTGTCCCTTCAGCTCTCCTACAAATGGTTGTGGGCTGCAAGACACAAATAAGAGAAAATACTTGTGTCCGAGTAAATAGGACAATTCTGTTAGGCGTTTCCACAGACACAGGTGTGTGTGTGTGTGTGTGTGTGTGTGTGTGTGTGTGTGTGTGTGTGTGTGCATGTGATAAAGAATTGCCTCATGCAATTATGGATTTGAAGAATCCAACCTCCAGAGTGGGCTGGCACCCTTGAGACTGAGGATAGTTGATTGTCTAATTGAACGGTCATCAGATCTTGCAGATGGAGTCTAAAGGTAGTCTTGGGGAGAGTTCTCTTTCACTTGGGAGAGTGGCAGCCATGTTTTCTGTTCAGGCATTCAACTGTTTGCATGAATCTCATTCACAATAAGGAGGGTATGTTGGTTAACTTTTCATCACTGTAACAAAATACCTGAGATAATCAACTTACAATAAGGAAAGATTTGCTTTGGTGCAGTGTTAGAAGCTGGAGATCATGGTTGCTTGGCCTTATTGCACTGGGCCTGTGGTGAAGGAGTACATCATCTCAGTGCACATGAGGCACAGAAAATTGTGCATCTCATGTCCAGGAGACCTAGCTCCAAAGGCTTCCAGCATCTTCCAGTAACATCACAGATAGAGGTCCAAGCCTTGAAACACCTGGGCCTTTGTGGTACATTCCAGATCCAGGCCATAGCGGAAGGCAATCTGTTTTTTTCAATATCCTTTTATTCACATGCTAATATGATCTAAAAGTGCTCTGTGCCAGACAGCAGACTAATGTCCGACAAAATATCTGTGCAGTCCCTGTCCCAGTCAAGCTGTCAGTAAAATTAGTCCTCGCAGCTGCCCACTTCCGGAGAATATCCTCTTCTGGGAACATCGTCAGCCCAGTCTGCCCTGAAGGATCCACAAACTCTTCTGCTCAGCAGCAGTGCTGAGATGAGTAATGTAACTGGGCAAAGCGATGAATTCATCAAAAGATAAACTTAGTGTTATAGATAAATAGAAGGAAAAAAGCAAATGTTCTTTTAGTGTGAAGTTTGCATCCATTTACTTTAAATGTGCAAATTATTTAGTATCTTGGGATGTATTTCTTCCATTGTCAAGGGAACATAAGAAGACAGTACTGTCTTTGTTGTCTTAGTTGATAGCAAGAAAAATTTGAAATTATCATATAGCTAAAGAGGTACTTTTACTCATTTAGTTGTAATTTTTAAATTTTATTTGCACATATTTGCAGTTCATCAAGTTTACAATAGTCTTGGAGAATGGTCACGTACCTATTACAGCATTTTTTTAACACCTTCCTCTTCTCTCTCCTCCTCCAGTGCCTCTATCCCATTTTTCATTCCTGTTGATTTTATTTGTTTTAGCTCATGTTATGGCCTATAATGTGTACATTAATTGTAGTTATGAGGTTCCTGTATATGGCACATCTTTATTCTTCTCATTTTCCCTTCTCTCCTCCTAATCCTTTCCCCTTTTTCCCTGGGACCACTGCCCTATTGTAAGAGATCCATCCCCTTATCCCTTTCTATCCATCCTTTATCATTTTCTTTGTACTTTGCCTCACTCATATGAGAGATACCATATGGTATGAAGCTTGGTTTATTTCATTCAGCATTATATTTTCCAGGTGCATCTATTTTCCAGCAAATGTCTCAAATTTGTCATTTTTATATCTGAGTAGTATTCCATTATGTATGTATACCACCTTTTCTTTATCCAGTCATCTGTTGGTGGGTACACAGGCTGCTTCCAGGATACAGATATTATGACTTGTGCTGCTATAAGCATTGGTATGTATGTATCTCTGCAGTATGATGATTTAAAGTCTTTGGGGAAGATACTAGAGCTCTCTAGGGACTATAGCTGTGTTATATGGAATTTCTAATTTCTTCGAGAAGTCTCTATACCGATTTCCATAATGGTTGTACTAGTCTGCCTTCCCACTAACAATGAAGGAATGTTTGTTTTTCACTACAGCCATACCAGCATTTGCTATTGCTCAATTTCCTGATGATTGCTATTCTTTTAGGAGTCAGATGGAAACTCTGCGTTGTTATTTTTTTCCATTAAATTTGTTGATACATTTTAGGTATACAATACAGTTACATTCATCATTGGAAACTTACACCATTACAGGATGGTTCCTGGTTCTTATTTTTTCCCCATTCCCCTGACCTCCCTTCAACCCCTCCATCGCTCCTATTTACAAAGGCTTTGTTTCCATTTTTTATTTTGACCATACTCAAGTGAAATAAATAGGACACATGTAAATACCGAATAATTTCTCTGGTGTGAGAAACTGGAAGTGTATATAAGGATCAAAATGTATAATAGATAATGTGAAATAGGAAGAAAAGGTGCAAAGGGGAAGGGGAAGTGGGAGGGGTAGGGGAAAGAAAGAAGGGAAAGGAAAATATATCAGCATTGTTTTAAATTGCATTTCTCTAATGGTCAGAAAATTTTTTCATATATTTGTGGACCATTTGTATTTCTTCCTCTGTGAAATGTGTATTAATTTCTTTTTCCCTTTCCTCGACTGGGTCAAGGTGGTTTAATTTTTTTTTTTTTGAGTTCCTTGTGTATGCTGGGAATTAGTCTTCTGTCTGAGGAGTAGCTGGCAAAATATTTTTCCCATTAAAAAATATGGAGCACTTCCCACATTTGCGTGTCACCCTTTTGCGGGGGCCATGCTGATCTCTCTGTGTCGTTCCACTTTTAGTATATGAGCTGCTGACGTGAGCGCAAGAAGGTATTTTAGATGGATGTTCAACAACAAATGATGAGAAGGAGTTTGGTACTGGCACATCGGTATTGGCTGTGTTCTGTTCAACCCCTGCAGAAGTTTGCTTGCTTTCTACGCACAGTAAGGTTTCACATCATTGCAGAATGAGTAGTTGATGAAGGGAATAGCTTAAACAAAGGCACAGGAGTGGGGTGGAAGCACAGAAGTCCTGGTTTAGGGACTCTTAGGGCAGGATCCCTAACGTGGATGAGGCAAGCAGGTCCACCAAGCAGAGAAAGAATGTTACTTGGCATATGCAGGTTTTAAAAAAAGTAATCCTAGACCTACAGAGCAGTTGTGAAAACAGTACAGAAAGCTCCCAAATACCTTTAACTAGTGTCAACATACCACAAAATCATGGCTCCCTGATCTAAACAATCAAATGTCCCTGGTAATAATACCATTAGCTGAACTGCAGACCTAATTTGCATCTTGTCAGCTTTCCTTTTTGCTGCTCCCGAATTCAAGTCCGGATCCCATATTGACTTAGTTGTGGTGTTTCTGTAGTCTCTTTTCATCTGTTATATTTCTTTAGCTTTTGCTTTTCATCTCTGAGGAGTGGCAGGCAGTTATAGCACAGGATGCATCTCGAGTTAGACTGGTCTGGTGTTTTCTAATGAGTTGAAGGAGGTCGTGAATGTTTCAGCAAGAACATCACAAGAGTGAGATACCTGTCTGAGTGCATCTCTTCCCAGGTACTAGTCTTGTAAACCTTGATTACGTGGTTAAAGTGATACCTTCCAAGTCCAGCAGAAAGTTGCTATGCTCCCTTCAGCAGTTGAAAATGACAGGGAAAATGTGGGGTCTGTGTGTACACACTGTTCTCGTACTTTGGCCTGCTAAGCTTAGCATCCATCAGTGGTCCCTTCCTGTAGCATAATTACTATGGTATTTGCCTAATGATAATTCTCTAATTTCATTGAAAAACAAGATAAGTTCAGTTTTACTGTTTCATTGAATTTATACTGGTGCCGTCGCCTAACCTATAAATAAAGATAGATATGTAGCATTTAACAATAATAAAACTGGTGATCTGCCAAACTCAGATTTTACACTAATAAGGATGTTACTTTACATATAATTTTATGTATCACTCATCAATAACCATAAACCTCTTCCTGAGAGTATATTGCATGATTGTGTGCTTTTCCAAGGTAATTTTTCAGTCCTGACAACTATGATAATCAAGTATTGAAATAAATTGAAATTAGAAGCTGATTTTTAAATTGCCATGTCCTTGTGTTAAACTATGATTTACCGAAATAGTGAGGCTTGATCAACCCATTGTTATCACTAAATATTTATGAATAAGAATTCTAGAAAAATTGCTCCAAAATTGTCATTAATAAATAAATGAAATAATGTTATTTATTTTGTCTCTAACTTTTAAAACTCCTATTTGGGAGTACATTTTTGTAGAGAACTACATTTCTTGTAGGCATTTATTTAATTTTTTTCCTAATGAAAGCATGTGATCAAAAGATTTTTGTACCCATTTTCCTTAAATAAGTACAATTATTAAAATACTTCAAAAAGTTGCCAACTCTTCACTTTTTTCTTTTAGAAGAAGGCTATTTACTGTCATTATTATTATTATTATTATTATTATTATTATTATCATCATTATTACTTTTGGTACCTGGGACTGAACTCCAGACCTTGCGCTTGTGAAGCAGGCAGTGGAAGCACTGAGCTAAATCCCTGGCCCTGCTGTCATTATTATTACTGCATCTTTGTTTACTAGAGTGAAGAACCTTTCAATGCTAAGTGGATAGGAAGAATATGATTTTAGAATAAGGGACAATCCTTTATATTGAATATATTTAGCTTTATTTAAAACCTGTCTTCCTGCCCCTCATATTTTACTACTGGCAGCATTTTCCACAGTAGTTCATGTTGTAAGTTGAACTGTATCCCCACCAAAAAGATATATTGAGGTCTAGACTCCCAGAATCTCAGAGTATTCCTATTTTTTGGAAGTAGGGCCATTCCATATAAAATTAGTTACATTAAGATTAGGTTTTGTTGTAGTAGGATGAGCTCCTAATCCAACACACGTGAGGAACATATGTGAAAACAGAGACACAGGGAGACAGCCACGTGACGACAAAAGATTGCAAGCCCATGAGGAGAGGACACCGTGAACTGACGAGAACCATGGTACATACTTTTTCTCAGAACGGATCCTGTCACCCTCTTGATTTTGAACTTCTGGGTCTCCAGAACTTTGAGGTAATAAATCTCTGTTGGTTTTAAGCCATCTAGAATGTGATTCTTAGTTAGAAGCAACCCCAGTAAAGCATCTAATCCAATAATTTAGGATATTTGGGAATTTGTGATAGTGCTGTGATTATAGAAATTTTGTGTGGACAGTTTATATTTCACTGATCCTTGTAAGCTTTCTGAGCAAAAAATAAGTCAGGTCCGCAGAATTATCCTGGCAGCAATGTCTAGACCTTGTCCTAAAGTGGACTGCCTAGAAGCAGATGAGATGATCGAGACAGGACTGCACAGATTTTCACAGGTAATATCAAAGCCCAGTCTTGGAGGACATCTCTGAAGAGGAAAATCAAGTACAAAGATTAGAAACACTGCAGTAGGAAGACTCATACAAATGCAGCATGGTGCAGAATTGTTTGACTTGTGAATTTAAGTTATTGATTGAGCATCTTTTGTATTAAGAACAACTCATCTTTAAGCCCATGCTACTAAAAAAAACAAAAAAATCTGTGATGTAAACATCTAGAAAAGTAAGAGAATGGGTTGGTTTAAAGATTAGCTCATTATAGGGCTAGAAATGCTTTTCTGGTTATGTATGCATCAGTGTCCACACTAAAAGCATACTTACCAGGTCCCTGCTTTAACTCAGTTGGAAGGCATGGGATACAGATTTTTTTATTGTACTCAGAATTGTTAGATGTTTATCAAATATGAAAGGAATTTGCAGTGGTGTTATAGAATCTCTTCCATGAGAGCCACGAAGACATGTGGACTGGATCTCAGAAGCACAGTTGGCTGACTGCCCTGGTTGCTCTATTCTGAAATCCAGTTACTGCTTCAGGGTTGACACCCTCTTCCCAGGGGCTGCTCCAGCCAAAGGCTGAACACAGCAGGGCTTCCAGGACAAAAGACTTCTGCTAAGAAATGCAGGACTTCACTGATGGGTAATTTCCAAAAGAGTATGCTCCATTGGACTTCTAGAATGTTCTTAGAACCACTTCAGACTAAGACTTCAACTTCATGAATCTAAGGAAGCAATAAGGATTAAAAGTTTGCAATCAATGCTCATCATGATATTATTCAAAAGAAAAAATTGGAAATTTCCTAAAAATCCAACAGTAAGGCAATAGAGGGAGGTGGAGGAAGTGAAGAGGGAGTAAAAACGTTTCTCCAACTCCTCACAATGAATGTAATCATTGTGTACTGGAATCTACTGGAATCAAGCACTAATAAAAATTCAGAAAATTAAAAAGAATATAGTTAATTAAACTATGATAACCCCATAAACTCAAATATTATATGGGTATTTAAAATTATGCTTTCAAAGATTAATGATGTAAGAAACTGTTCCTAAATTGGGTTATAATGTTAAGTAAAGCAGACATAAAACTTTATAATTTTATAATCACATTTTAAAATAATTTCTGTACATGCATTAAAAAAATCCCTTGAAAAAAAGTCACAATATTAGTAATTTTTTTCCTGGATGGAATTACTATTTTTTTTTCCTCATTGAGTTTATTGGTTATTGGTACATTTTAGGTACACAGTACAGTTACATTCATTGCTGGGATCTTGTACCTTTACATGACAGGTCTTGGTTTTCATTTTTTCCCCTTGTCCCTGTGATAGAATTACTATCAATCACCACTTTATTGTCTTTTGATTTTCTTAATTTTTAAAATGTATAATTTGTACAGTTCAAACTGTAACACTGTTGCACAATTAAAAAAAAGATTTGTCCTGTAGTTACATGTAAATATAATAAAGTATAAAATAGATATATCTATGATATTTCTCTTTTTTATTGTATGTAGTTTAACGTGATTCCTTTCTGTAACTCTTGTCTAGTGCTGGTGTAACTGCCCCAGGGAGAGGAAGTTGGCATTTATGTAGAAGAAGCTAGTCAATAAAAGAGTGAGTGTGATGATGTCAGCATGAACTGACCCACAGAGTCATGCTTACTGTTACGAAGAGCCTTCTGGGTACCCCGGGATGGCAACAAATCCCTGTGCTCTCAAAGCCTCACTTTGAATTTTGACCATTTAGCCTCTCACTGTGAGTCACACTATGGGCACACAGACCATCTTGTGAGCCCCTTGAGGGCCTTTTATCATGTGTTACTTTGGCTAACGAGTGCATGATTATGGCCTGGAACATTGAATTGAATATCATTAATAAGATTATAAAAAATTTAAACAAAGGAATAAAAAATGTATATAACTTTAAATGGTAGTATTTTCACACAGATTTTGTTATTTCACACCAGAGGCTATAAAAACAGGTCTTGATTCCTCTGCTTCTTCCACTTTTTATGCTAAATATGGAATTTCTGATCATATACTGATTTATTCTTCATACCTGGGCATTCCATTTACTCAGATTTGAAGAGTGTCTGGCTTCTCTCTTCCTGGTCTGCTAACTCACTCATTATTTAGTGTGCTGCTCAGTAGTAACCCATTTATTCAAGCATTCCATGGTCTTCTCAGACAACTGAATTACTTCTTTGTTTCTGTTTATTTGTTCTAATTAGCTCCCTATATCCTGTGACATTGGGATCATTTGTATATCTGTCCTATGAAATGCATCTCCACATTACTATTGTCCCTCATTCCAGTCAAGTTGACATAAAGTTAACCATCTATAGACTCACCCTGCACATCTTAGGATGGTCAGTCTCCATAATCACTTTAGCCAACTCCTCACAATAAATGCCCCCATTGGTTCTTTTCTTCATGGAG